AAAGGGAATTTTGGTACATTTAACATAACTTTAATTTAGAACCACAAGATTAAAAAGTCTTCTTTCTTTTCTTAAACTCCGTTCCAAGTCAAACTAGGCCATTCTTTTTGAAACAGAGGGAGTATTATTATTTTGATAAGTAAAAGGTATAGACTTATCTGCATTATCCTCCCTTTGAAAGGATTTATATAATTGAAAGAGAGCTGTTTCCCTGGGTTTGAGAAAGTGGTAGGACAGTGTTTTCTACAAATAATTTTCAGTTCATATATGTCTATATTTACATATAAGAGTAGGTAACCAGGCTCTGATATTTTTGCTGCCGCTGTAATAGAGAATCTTTTAGAATTTGGCTAACTTGTAGAGTTTTTTTGTGAATGCTTGCTCTATTACCTGTAAGATAACCAATGGCATAAGCAGGTTGCTACCATTGCATGGTTTGAAGCCGATTCTGTTTGTGGAAGTCATGCTGTTGCAATTCCCATTGTTCTTGTATTGCCTTACCTTTTCCGTCTGTTTCAATGTCTTCGGCAATATAAGGATACTAGAGAGAAGACTACCCTGTTGAATGGTAAATTCCTGTCTTGTCTTTTGTCTTTTTGTTGCTAAGGAGGAGTGAGTTGCTTTGTAGGTTAATGCCAGTCAGCATTTTCTCTTAAAAGATAGTTTTTTATGCTTTACTTTGAAAGGAACAATTTCTCTCTGAATAGATAGTGCATATTAGTTGCTTTTAACAATGATTAAAACTCCAAGAGCTGATGAAGAAAAGTGGGGAGAGAGATCACTTGCCTTCATTTAACTGCGGAACTAAGAATACCTGGTTGGCTTTGAGGCTCCTTTGGTGGGCTGAAATTTTCTGGAAATGGGTTGGCTTTGAGGGTTTTACATAGTGGTAGAAAATTTTTGTGCTGATTTGAAGATTAAAGCCTGAAAACTTGGAAGAAGTCTGATTCATTGTGAACAGCAACTGTTGGGAGAATGGAGTGAAAGATGATGAATAGTTTAATGCTTTGCTTACCCTGCTCTTTGTCATCTTGGTTTCGTTCTATGCTTACATCTTTTGCTCCCTAAAAGAAAGACGTCTCTGAAGTATCCTGGAGTGTCTCACATAATTTACAGTGTTACTCCATTTCAATGTTGGTCCTAGGGAAAGTAGTAATGTTCCAAGTTCGTCATTTGTTAAGGGTGGTCTTATACATAAGCTCTCTCTCTTCAACTTGCTTTTACTTATTTAGGTTTCAGCTTAACATTGGGTCGATACTTAATAGTGCTAATCATTAACATTTCATTTCAGCGTTGAAATATTCGACTGCAGTACCTGTGATATTTCTCTCAGCCCTTAAGTATCACGTCTTCCCTGACAACTGGGTTAATATTTATCGTCCTTTATGGCTTCTGTCTGGTGTGGTGAACTCGCTCTACTCATTCTATTGGGATCTGACAAGAGATTGGGACTTGAGGTCAGTGACATCTTTTTCATGCTAATTATTCGGAGCTTTAGCTAATTTTTCGGACCGCATGCGGGCGGGCACTAATGCTTTAATTGTTTTTTACCCAGTTATTGCTCATCTGACTCACACTTTGTTTTGGTTATCTATATTTTTCTTTGATTTTGCTGCCTTTCAACTGTTTCAATTGACATGCCTTATATTTTAGCATCCCAAATGCTGACATTGTTTTTAAAATGACAAATTTGACAAAGTACCACCTTTTATTGATGTAGCATCCTTCCAATCAAACTTCTCTACCTTCCCGCATTTTAAATTACATGTTTATTACTTTATTAAACGTACTCCTAGAAATTTGATTGGGTAATCTATTAAAACATATATTACTCTTCAGCTTTGCAAAGTACTGCATAGAGATTGGATATTGAGTTCTCATGTTTGTGGTTTGCCCTATTTTGCATAGAATCTTGTGTAATTTGATTTGTACACTGCACTTTCCTACTCTACCACTGTGTCCTAATACTTTTTCTCTCTCTCGATGCCTCCTTCCATCTATTTCCTTAATCTATCTCTCTTGATGCATCCTTCATCTACTTCCACTATTCTACACAAAAAAACCCTTCTTGAAATCTATGTTTTTTCATTGAATTCCAAAAGTTGTTCAAGGAGCATATACATTTACAATAAAATAAGGGGTGAAGGCTCATCAAATCAAGAATTGTAAACACTGAAGTCACACAAAATATTGAATCAAAAATGACAAAAGTACTACCTTATTGATAAAAAGGTTGACAGAGATACTAGAATATAAGATTATAAGGGGATGCCTGATTGGTCGAGGCATGGGAGTAACAACCTAGAGATCCTAGGTTCGAATCCCAGCTACGACACTCGGTATGAGTCCATCTGCTCCAACATTTGTGGGTTTGATTATCTTGATTATGAGCAGTTTGTGTTGATGGACTGGATGGGTTGCACACAAGCTAACATGGACACCACTAATATGTTCAAAAGAGAAAAAAGGAGAACGAATATTTTGAAGTTGAGTTGAACTTTACAGCATGTTATTGAGTATGACAGGAGTAAGCATGTGCTACTTTTTGCAAACAAACAAGAAATTGTAAGTAAACAAAATCGTATCAGATCTGTGTTTTTGTTTCTTTAAATCACCATTTAAGCATAAATTCCACTTGAAATGAAAATAGTGAGGGATTGGTGAGACAAAAAAGTTATAGGAGATGGGCCCCAAGGGCTTTGTTCAGAGCCCAGTGTGATATGTGGTTTAGGCACATGTCACATGGTCGTTCCCTACCATGAACACAAAACCTGGTAATTAAGTGGAGAAGGATAAAGGGCTACGCTCATTGTTCGCTGAGTTTCAAAACTTGGCCAGTTTGCCCTGGGGGATTTCTCGGTTACAAAGAGACTATAGGAGATAGAAATAAGGGTTAAAGGAGGAAGGGTGAATCACAGTAATGGTTTAAATGATGATTTGGAGGGGATGTGTCAAAAAGTCGATTGCATGAATCAATTCCCATGTTTTTTACTTTAATCACACATTTATAATAGTCTGCCACATACCACTTATTACTTTTATTAGACGAGTCTTTCTGAGATTGCTCTCTTGTTAACTCAAATATTTTTCTTCTTTCTGCTAGTTGCTTTACTCGGATTTTCAAGTTCAGCAGACCAAATGCATTATCATACTTGTTATACGGGCGGAAATGGGTAAGTTTATGCCTTTTGCTTATAACTACTGCTTCCATAACTTTGTAAGTTCATTCTACTGGTTGGTCAATTTACCAGTTTCTTGTGTTATACACATTGACATTTTTTTTTTCTAGACTAAAGTTGAGGGAAAATTCGATGATTCTATTGGTGGTCCCTTTATTTTCATAAATAGGATTGAAGCTGGAATTGATGTTAGATTTTCTTGATAATTTTAACCAACATTACAATACCCTCCATAGATGAAGATGTTGATAGCCTCTAAGTTGGCATTTCTGATAAATTTCTTATCATAAAGTATTGAGGGTGTAGTTTTCTGACCATTGGGAACTTGCAGGTCTACTTTTGGGTAATTGGAACCAACCTCATCCTGCGGTGCACGTGGACATACAAGCTTTCTTCCCATCTCCGACACAATTATCTCACAGTGTTTGCAATAACCGCGCTTGAGATCTTCCGTCGTTTCCAGTGGGCTTTCTTCCGTGTAGAGAATGAGTGGAATAAAATGAACTCTAAACAAAATATTCAACTCTCCACGATTGACAAGCCAAATGATGAACAGAAATTACTCGACCCAAATGGTTACAGTGTATAGACTATGGAACATTACAGATCCTACCAACTTCATTGGAAGTCAACTGAACAACCTTCTTCAAGCCAGGCAGAAAGCTTTTATGGGATCCCATTTTTCCTCTTTATCATACAAGAATTTCTTGTCAATAGTATAGTACGACCTTGAAGGTCAAGAGACATTAGATAATATACAAGATTCAACCAGCATTCCTTTTTGGGGAAACCAATCCCTCGTAGTTCTTTGTTGGGCATTTAAATCATTTTTGTGTTAGATACTAATGCCTATTTTTGAGGTAATATCCCCTGGAGATGTTTTGAACTTTATAGTATCTCGAGATTATTTCATTTTTCGTATCAGCAAATCATGCTGGAATTTATAGTTCTTCATTAGTATTGATGAGATCCTAGTATCAAGTGCTGGAAAACTGTGAAAAGGACAGAACATCTCAATTTTTTGATAGATTGGGACTGGTGGGAATATTTATTAGTTGCTTTTGTACTTTCAGTTTCTCCTAAACATGATAGTTCACTCCTGTTGTGTCAGGTGCTAGTAGTGGTAGGGTTTTACTGTCTTGAACTTCTTATGTTATCATACATTATTGATTATTGATTACTTTATAAACATAGCATTTGTCCCTACTGTTATTCCAGCATTTGAAGAAACAAAACTACATAGCAAAATGGTAACAGATCGTTGAATGATTGAAGAGTTTTTTTAAAAAAAAGATTCTTGAATTTGATGATCTTAAACAGATTATTAATCATGCTATGTAGAATTTTGGAATTAGAGAGTTATCTAATATATACAAGAGGGAGTTGCTCGGATGGTAAGCACCCTTTACTTTCAACCCGAAGGTTGTAAGTTTTAACCATCCGGTATATGGTGAAACATAAGAGGTTCCCAGTGAAGGTTGTGAGTTTTAGTCATTCGTGAAACATAAGAGGTTCCTGGTGAAATAGTCGTAAACTGATCCGGACACTACCTTGAAAAAAAAATGTTCAAGAGAAGAAAGTAAATAGGATTGTTTTGTAAATGCAACAAAAACACTTGGAACTCCCTTCACATGTTCAATAAGTGGTCCTAAAAAATCATCACACACCAAAATTGAAAAAACTCAAAAACACTTAAAAATTTGTCTCACCAAACATTAGTGTAAATTTAGCAATGAAAAATAGAATTGACATTTGCCAGTGAGGCTATTATTCTTTCTTCCTTTTGTCTTTTCTTGGCAATATTTTCTTCTTTTCTCATCCACTATTTACAACCACAACATTATCTCACCAACATATACTGTGTGGCTTCAATTTGGCACTAAACTTCAAGTATTGGATATGTTGTCTATTCACATAATGTCCTAACCCCACTTAGTTTTCTGTTCTGTTCATAAAAAAAGTTCCATCCACATAATTTTCATAGTTTTGCCTTTAACAAAAAAAAATACGTATCATTTTCGTCAACAATCATAACATTCAAAAACCAAAGTACACTTCAAACTTGCATTAATGGCTTCCACCATATGTTCTTCAATGAAATTGGAGTTTCAACAAATTCCCGCCAAATTTTGTATTTGAATTTGGGATAGCCGGTTGATATACATAGATTATGCACTGATTCTACATCTGGCGGTTATAATTAGTTTAAGTGTTTTTTCTATGGAGAGAATTTCACAAAAGGAACATATTTTAGTTGATTATGGTCCACAAAGATCATTTGAGGGTTCACCAAGTGATATGGACATGGATTTTAACGATGTTTTCGGAGGTCCACCGAGGCGATTTTCAGTACAAGAAGCAAGAACAAGGCACAGTTTCAATGATTCAGTAGAATCTGAAGAGGATTCAGCAGGTGTATCGCGAAATTCGTGGAATGGATTCAATGAAAAGCCAGTTTTCGGGGAAGAAAATGCTAACAGGAGGCGAAATCAAGGTGGTGATTTCTATGATGATATATTTAAAGTTGAGGAAAAATCTTACAGTTCAAGCCCTGTTCGACCTTTGTCACCAAAAATTGAAGCTTTTGGTACTTCACTCCCAGCTCAATTCAGGTACTTTATGTACCTCTTTTTCTTTTATATACAAGTATTTAAGTTATATATACGGTCAGTGTACAGAATTTTTACGCTATTAGTGGTGTTATTTTGAGTTCCACAATGGTGGGATGAGGGAAAAATGATCTCTTCAAATGATTTCTGCAATTCATTTTGGCCCAAAGTCCATTTCTTTTATCATGGTATCAGAGTCAGGCTCATCTCAATTCATTGTTTACCTGATGTTGGGCCCCATCTTAAATTTGTCCACGCTCTAGATGTCTAGTCTTGGGTGTGGGGCGGGGGAGGGGAGGGG